CAAAAAAAAAAAAAAAAAAAAAAAGAGAGAGAGCAGAAGACCCAAAACAGCCATAATATATTAAAGAATCCTCGCACAGGGGCAACCCGTAGATAGATGAGGAGCTTCTCAAGCTCATTTACATAAAACATATCAGCTCAAGTAAGCATCCTCTAGGGCAGCCTAGCCTGCATATTCTCATTTGTGCTAACCTTCAAAGGATAAGAGACCAAACTAACTTGATTTGCCTCCCCCTTTCTGAATATTATTGTAAACCTCATTAATATAATATCTAACAAAGCAGGAGACACTGAAAAATAGAATTAAAAGCAATGTCTTAAAAAGGTTAAAGACGGCCTTGAGGTTTTTTCTCTTAAGGAGGCAAAGGCAAGCTTGGAATGTAAGCCTCAATAGATTTGGGGATGCTGTTACTTGTTTGGGATGTAAATTTGCAAGACTTCCCACGTTTTTTGCTTAGGGTTTCCTTTAGGAAAAAAAAAACACTTCATGACCTTTTTAGAATCTTGGAACCCAATAATAGTGAAGATGCTGTTGGATGGATGAAAAAAAAGAATTACTTTCAAGAGGAGGCAGATTAGCTTTTTGTTATTCGGTCCTTTCTAACCTTCCCTAGTATTACGTCTTTATTTATCATACCTAAGAAAATTGTTCTTGAACTTGAGAGAAGATTTTTTTGGGGGAAAGTAAAGGGAAAATTAAAACACTTATTTTTATAAGAAGGAAATTAACTTAATAGGGTGGCATGTAGCTTTGAAGCCCTTGAAGTGTGGTGGTATGAATTTGGCATATTTAAGGAAGAAAAACGAGGTTTGTCTAGCTTAATGGTAACTGAGGATCAATCAATTAACGCACACCATGAAGTGTAAATAAGGAAGAAAAAATGAGGCTCAAATAATTGGACCGGCACCTTTGCTTCCAAAATTTCTCTTAAGAAATATCCCAAAACTCCCCATTTCTTATCATGTAACCCAAACTACAATTTTACATACTTCTTTAGGAAGAATTGTTTGATAATACATTATTCTCCTCGTCTAAAGCACCTAGCTATATGATATCTCTAAAGATATTCTTTGTAATATTGTTATGTCTAAACTTTACTGGTTGCAAGAAAAAAACCAAAAGAAGATGAAATTGTCAATCATAATATGCAATATAGAGTCAAATTAAGAACGTTAAGGACTGAAAGCATAATTGTTCTTTTCTATTGAAGAAAGGACTTTTAGGTAAGAAATGTACAAACAAGTATAACAGCCTTCGAACACGATTGTAGTGACAGTGGAACGTCAATCATCCTTGGGTTATAATCTGCAAACATAATCAAAATCAGTAATAGATTATTTATTATGTCTCTTTCACCCACTAAGCCCTGGGTGTGAATATGGAAATATAGTTCAGCAGTAAGAATTAAATGCTGCTACTATTGTGAGGATAGCGTATTGATACAAATGAAGAAAATAAAGCTTCCTACAACAAAATATCATAAAGAAAGAAAGAAAGAAATGAAAAAAATTTGATATGTCTAGCATAATCTTTAAATAAGCTAGGATCAAGAACATGATAATAATCTGAATAATGAAATTTCACACGGTTCTCTTTGAGCTCTAGCTCAAATTGAAAATATCATAATTGCCACATTAGTATAAGATCAAACCAAAGAGACTTAAGGTAATGTATCATACAAAATATAAGACAGGAATACTTTAAAACAAGAGTGAAAAGAAGCATCTGAATGATTTGTGTGGAGTTTGTAGTACCACACATCCACATATATACGTATATGTGCTTGTATCTTTGTATGTTTGAACCAAATAAAGGATGACTTCAAGAATAATTAGCAGAATCTTTTTAATAAGAAACGATTTGATTAATATAATGGAATTTTCAAAGGACAGAAGAGGACCCAAAAGGAGTAGGGAAAAACATCTCCAAGGTCAATTATCACATAAATAGTAACTAAGCTTTCCATCTAAGTCATCATGAAAAGGAAATATAGACAGCAACGTCAGATCTAGTCTAAGCTTCTTGCCTCATAAAAAATTCTTCAATTCGGTCATCCCAGATTTATCACAGCAGCGCACAAAAACTATTGACCCAGAGTAGCTTTTTCTAATTCATAAAGCTGTGCCCACAAAATCTTTAGAGGATCGAGGAGGTGACCCAAAATGGAAGTCTGTTCCACAGCATGATATCCAACAGTAACACGACAAGAAAAGCCGATCGGCCCAAACCTATTTGTACTGGATTAAGAATTTCTTTTTAGAGTTCTATCATCCATAATCAGCCTATCCAAGGAAAGCATCTATAAGAAAACTCTACATCTGCAAGGAGAGTTCTTGAAAACAACCACTCCTTTCATGGCATTATCCTATGTAACCCTCCGCAAAGGAGAGCCTGAGGCCATTCAAACATCACCATCAAGTACTCCCAGTTTACTTTTAAAAATAATTGGTGCTCTCTTTTTCTTTACTTCTCCTTGTCGACCCACTTAAATTTTCGTTCAGTAGAAAAGAAGCTCGATCACAGGATCACAATATTTCTTTTCTTGATCTATTTTTTTATTAACAAGACTCCAAAATTTTCTTTTTCAATTTCTAAACAAAATAAGCTAACTGTAGCCATTTGGGCCTTCTTATGTTTGAGAAGACTTCAAGGTGTATATTTAAGATAAACGCAAGTTTCACTCACATTTTGGAATTTCAAGGTGAACTAGTTTATTAACTATGTTAGCCTGCGCACAAAAGATAACAGACAAAAGCTAATTTCAAGCTTCCCTAACTCAAATGCATGTTCTGGTTAAACAGCCTAGCCTGTATGGAAACAGCATAGAATGAAAAATTAAACGCTGAAAGAGTGAAAGAACCTTTTCCAATGAATCTCTGAAGTAGTTGCACTTTTAGAGAATCATGCTTTACGATTTGCCTACAAAAAGCAAAAGCAAAAACAAAAAATAAAAAATGAGATCAATTTCTCCACACAACATCATAACTTCGAATTTTTCAGAATTGAGTCTCATAAGTAGCTAAAAATGAGATCAGTTTCTCCCCTACAACGTATGGCAACTCAACTAACAACCAAAATCCTAAAAGTAAATCAATACTTGCAATCATTGAACAGAATTGAGCACATGGACTTCTTGAAATTACCAAAATCGCAGAGATGAAATCCTGAGAGCCGACTCGAGACAAAAATCAAGTACGGCTTCCTTCCTACTGCCAATGCCAATCACTTCCACGAACTCATAATCATCCCAGAAATCCTTCTCCATATTGGCCCTTCCAGCAGCATTTGACAAAGAACTGTTCGCTGTAGTACTCAGAAACGGGTAGGAATTCCGATATCCAGCCAACCCGAGAAACATCTTCCGGCGGCGAAAGAAGAGGCTGCGAATTGAGGAACAAGGGTATCGGCATAAGGAGGAACGGAGCAATGGGTGAAAGCCATTGATTACAGGAAGCTCCGTTATGAGTGGCACCATTACTATTACACCGGTTGGCTTATGAGCCAATTGCGACTCAGAAAATGGGAAGAAGCTGAATCGTCATGGTGACAGGAACCAGAAAAAATGGAGTGAGCTTCAAATTTTCGCGACTCACTGAATCCCAGTCCCAAATCAACTCCATCCCTGAAATTTAATTTCTCGTAATTCTTTTATTTTTTAGACAACAATAAATTGATTAAAAAAACGATTATCAAAATAAAGATTTGTTTAGGTTAAATTAAGAATAAAAAAATTCAAATTATCCTTAATCTTGATCTTTAAAAAAAATTATTAAAATACTCTTACAAACGGTTTGTAATTTGTTACACAGATTTGTTTAGGTTAAACTTTTATATATATATATTAGATTGATTAGGCTGCTATAGGCTGTTAAGTATATATTAGGCTGATAAATTAGTGATTCCGACTTAAGCTCTCAAGTAAGTGGCTGCACTATTGGTTTAGTTGGATGAATTGTTTGAAATATGAACGATGCAAGCTTTGTGGCTCTTGCACGTGTCGTACCTTGTGATTTTTTAATGTATGTTTATTATGTTATTACTATGTTGTGAGTATGTTGTGCTATGGAACTTGATATGTTATGTTATGTTGTTATTATGAGATATGTCGTGCTATGAAATATCATGTTGACACATTATGTCATTGAAAATTGTGCTATGTTATGAAAGTGTTACACACAAGATTATGAGACGACATAAAATGATTATGTCATGTATAAAATAAACGAAAATATAACTTGCATCATAGACCACATGCTAAGATTTTAAACTATGGGGACCTCATGCATATTGTATGTTCACGTGCATTGAGATACTTCTCCGTTATGATTAGTATAAATGCGTACACTCTGATGTTATGATACGGTATTATGTATACAATGATACTATTGCGCTCCCTTCCGTCCATGGTATTCTAGCACTGTGAGTGTACGTTAGTCGAATGTCAGGTTCAGGGGTACGTATATGAGCTCGCTTGGGGGTCCATATGTGCGTACGTGGGTCGCTTGTAGAGACGTACTACAAATCCGAAACTAAAGTCTTGTTATGATAGTTTATGAAACGGTAGGTTTCAAACATGATTGCATGTAATTGCATTTCTTGACCCTCGTTCTAATATATTTATATATTTGATAAAAAAAAAAAACATAGTTCTAATACATGTTTATGTGAAAAGTTCAGTTCAATACTCAATTCCAATCTATTATAGTCATTCTAGCTGAAAATATATCGAGATAAAACCATCATTCTAGCTGAAAATATATCGAGATAAAACAATTATTCTAAAGATTCATTTCGCTCACTTTGTACTAGACATAAAATTGTCGAACTTCTTCCTAATTTGAAGAGATAGTTTTGGCTAAGTAGTTATCATCTGATCAACTAATTTATGTATTTTCATACTCCATAATTTGTCCATATTTTTGTGGTGAGTTTGCTAATTAGTTATAATTCGATCACTCATCTTCTTGTCAAGAATCACGACCCTCTACAATGATATGATATTGTCCACTTTCAACCTAAACTATCATGACTTTACTTTTGGTTTCCCCAAAAGACTTCGTGTGAATGGAGATAGTGTTCTTTATAAACCTATTATCATCCTCTGAATTAGACACAACTTTCTCTGGAGCCCTCAAACAAACAAAATACATCCTTTATTCGACACTTGAGTCACCTTTAACTACACCTTCGAGGCTCACAATTTCTTTATTCGATACTTGGAGATTGTATTGATGTTGCTAAGTTAAAGGCATGACTCTAATACCATGCCACAATGGTATGATATTGTTCACTTTGACTATAAACTCTCATGACTTTTCTTTTGATTTCTTCCAAATGGCTTCCTATCAATGGAGATAGTGTTCCTTATAAACCTATGATCTTCCTCTTAATTAACTAACGTATAACTACTCCTCTCAATAATCCACAACAATACGTCTGAAAATAAGTGAATAAAGGATAGATATGAAAACTTTGTTTATGAAATTATTAATATTTTAATAGCCATTTAATTTTTGTCGTTGTTGGGCGAATAAAAAAGATCGAGGGATATATACAATATTTATTTAATATTATTACGTGGATCACTAATCAAATCAACGTGCCTAGTTTTCAAAGTCCTGAGGGGTCAACGTCGCAAGTGGCTATTGGCCATTAGGATTAAAGCTCGATTTTCCAATTCTTTTTTATTTTTTTAATACACAAAAGGAATTGCCAGGTTTTATAAAATACTCCACCATCCTCAAAATTCTGCCACCTTTGCCTAACATTTAATCTTGTTCAACTCGATTTAATTTTATCTTTTTAAGTCTCTCCAATAATTATTTATTCTTAAAAATTATGTATATTTATTTATTTATTTACTGTAACATGAGTGTAATCGCATGAATTGAGTCCATATGTGAATGAGAGCGATCCAAAGAATAGAATGACTAAGAAATTTTTTTAAAAGAATTGAAAGTTATTATATATACTAACACGGTGCACTTTCTTTTTCGTTGACCCAATCATAAAAACACCAAAATTAAGTATGTTCTGTCTGTAACTATTTTATGTTAGGTAATCTCTTGAAATTTTTCTTAGAATATATGTGAATGAAGACAAATCTTGCTAAAAGAAATTAACTAATGTGGTCATGTTGTAAGAGAATATCGGAACACGTAGGTGTCAAATCTAAATTCTAAATTTTAAACACGAATGAGACTGAAAATTAAATGTTTGTATTTGACATTGCAGCTGAAATGTTATCTGAATTTTATATAAATAAAGCAACAATTTTACTATCTTATTTAATTTTTACCGATGTATTTTTGAATCTATTGGGTAAGAAATCTGGGTAATTATCCTTCATGGTAAATATTTAATCTAACTTATATTTAAAAAATTAAATGAGGTATATAGTAAAAAAAAAATTATATTAAATGAGATATGCTTACAAATATACTATAAATAATATATATTAAATTTTAGGTTTTTAATCTGGTTAGCCATCATTAATAATTATTTTTAAATAATGATCTTAATAAAATTATACAATAAAATTAATCGTAATAATTTTTACGATCATATAATTATGCTAGCTCAAAAATAAAAAATATTTGGAATAAATAATAATAATTAATTATCGTCTTAATATTGTATATAGTATTACGTACTATGTTAATTTTCCTCCTTTGTTTTAACAAAATATATATATATATATTAATTACAAAATAAAAGGATAAAAATGAAACTTTAGAGATCTTTTATATAATTTAACAAAAAAGAAAGAAAAAACTCATATGTTTGAGACATTCATTTAAGTGATGATCTATATATATATATATAAAGTAAGATTAGGACATAAATGTAATAGTTCATATGGTTCAAATATATGATGATTTAGTCTAAAACTAGTTGCTATCCAATTAATTAAACACTAGAGTTTGGTTGGATCATCTCAGTCAAAGATAATGGGCTGCATCTTCCATCATGTTCCATTACTGATCTTACATCATCAGTTGGAGAGGGGAACGAAATATTTCGAGTGTAGAAATCTCTCTCTAATATACACATTTTAAAATCATTAGGCTGACAAAGATACGTAACGGGCTAAAGCGGACAATATCTGTTAGCGGTGGACTTGAACTGTTATAAATGGTATTAAAGCTAGGCACTAAACGGTGTGCTAGTGAGGATGTTGGACACCCAAGAGGGTGGATTGTGAGATCCCACATCCGTTGTAGCGAGTACGTTGGAAATCCAAAGAGATTTGAAAACTATGAGATTGACGGCGGCTATACGTAGCAGGAAAAACCCTTCCTTCTGCTCTCTCAACCCTTATATAAACCCTACCCTCCTTGCATTAAACTCACAACACACAAATTCTTCTATCTATCTCTCTCTCTCTCAGCTCTCTAACTATGAAGTTCCTTTCAGCTGCAATTTGCTTGCTGCTCCTCATTTTTGGCACTGGTTAGTTTGTTTCCTTCAATTTTTTATGTTTTGTTTGTTCATTGGACTGTTTACCAGTGGTGTTTGGTGCATGATGTGTGGGACAGGCATGGCGCCAATGGTTGCAGAGGCCAGGCTTTGCGAAACTCCGAGCGCCAACTTCAGGGGGCTATGCTTTAGTAACAACAACTGTGGCCATGTGTGCAAGGGAGAGGGGTTTAACGATGGCGCTTGCAGGGGCTTCCGCCTTCGCTGCTTATGCTCAAAGCAGTGTGTTTGATATGTTCTTCACCAACAACATCCACACATCTTCAACTAATTCTCTATTTACTTTCCAAGTTGTATCAATAAAGTGGTCATCCTCTTTGGCCCCTCCTTTTTTGTGATTTTGCTTTAATGTAGCTCTTTAATTACATTGTGTTTTGGAATTTTGGTTTATGCAATAATATGCGTATACGGGTGTTGTTTATGTTAGAAAAACCTCTCACTTCTATCGTAGGAATAAACATAAAATAATCAAGAAACAAGAAACACAAAAATTTACGTAAAAAAAAACTTCAATACAGGAACAAAAAAATCGACCTACCAAAAAGAAACTCAATATATAAATAAGTGATGTTACCGTTGGAACGCCCTCTATGACTTATCTATATGTTATTACTTATATGATGTGATGCGTATGAGCTTTCTCTGATGCATGTACTTCTCATATATCAATTCATATATGTTATGAGACCATGCTTACATTATGTCTTATGAGACAATTGATGAGTTATGTATGATAAAATTGAATGATATATGTCATGCATATATGTCTCATAGGAAAGTTACGTCGTGAACACTACAGAAGTATAATGCGCTTCTAACCATGTACCATGGTTTGAAAATGTGGGATCTTATGTATGTTGTATATCACAAGCATGAGTTACTTCTCTAATATATTTTGTACAAATTCGTACACCATGATATGATGTGTTCATTTTCTTCCGTTAGTTTTCTTATAGCATGAGCATGCAATAGTCCATAGTCAGACCTAGAGGATATGTATACAAGCTCGTCTAGTGGGTTCATGCACGGGCGTGCGGACCGTGGGTAGATAAGTATTATGCACCTAATTCTATTCCAAAAAAAAAAAAATATAGAATTAAGGAAAATCACAAAAAAGTAGGGTTTACCATGAACCATCATGGTTTATTATTGCATTTACGGTCTCCAACAATGAGGTCACTTACAGACCATTTTTGAACACTGAAGCTGCATTCTACATTTTTTTTTTTAAGATAAAAACAAGGTCTCCATATACGGATGATGACGTCTACTGTGGCGGCTATTAGAGTCAAGTCGCATTAAGTCGTAGCTTTTATGTTAAGATAATCAATCACATTTATTTTTAACTTTAATAAAAAGATGTCATTTTTTTTCTTATTTTCAGCCATATTATTTTTTTATGACGTCATTATTAAATATTAAATGAATTTATTACAACGTCATTATTAAATTTTAAATGAATTTATGAACATAGACTCCAATAATGTGAATGACAGAAATAAGCAAATAAAAGAAAGAAATTCGAATTAATAGTATTTTAATTGGTATTTAAATATTGTCGTTGTTGGGCAAATAAGAGATTGATGTATTCAATATTGTGTGGATCACTTGTCACTCATCGAGTCAATACCTAATTTTCAAAGTCTTGTTTTGTTTTATTAAGGAGGGGCCACCCTCACAAGCAGCCATTAGTCTTTTGGATTAAAATTTTATCCCTGGTTGCCATTAGTGCTCGATTGACACCAAAGTTGCATTCCGAAACTCATATTGAAACTTGGCTCTCTTGCACTAAGAATACTTCTCTCATTATATGAGCGGATGCGTACATTACGATATCTATGTACGTCATGATTTTATGTGGATCCTTTTCCACTGTGGCTCCGATAGCGTGAGTGTGCGCTAGCTAAAGATCATGTCTAGGTGCTACGTGTACGCCCGCTTGGTAGGTCCATGTGTGCGTACGTGGGCCTTGTATTAGGACTACACATCCAATTTTTGCCCAAACTGAAAAGCAAAGTTGAAGACCATGAAATGTTTTTATGAAAGAATAGGTCCCACCATGATTGCTTGTGTACGCATTTCTCGACCCCAATAGTGTAGTTACCCTCAGCCATGTACTCCTCTTATTTTTTAAGTAAAGATAAGGCACCTCTGTACAGATGACGACATTGTAGTGACGACCATGTGATCGAAGCTAGGGTGGTGGCATTTATGTTGTTTTTTTCGTAGCCATTGGGTTAGATTAGGACAATGTTTTATTTTCTTTATTTTATTTAAATTCATGTTATTTTTTTTTGCACCATATTGTTTTAATGAATTTATTATGAACATATAAGTCCATGACTTCGAAATATTTTTAATGATTTTTTTCCGTACATAATAGATATGCAGCGAAGATCTTATTTTTAGTAAAAAAAAAAATAGGTGCATTACAAGTCTGAATAAAGTACTAATTCTTAACTAAATAAACACATTAAATACCTCAAAATATATTAAATAGACCGACTTCCATTTATAATTCTCTAACATTACAAAATAAAGTATCCAATACACGAAGAGCAAAGTAAAAAAAAAAAGATGAATAGGGTAATCTCTATGCGCTTTTTGCTTATCGATCGACTTCACTTCTGTCACACTATTCTCTTTGCACGGTTGCGCACACAAGTTGAGTCGAATCAAGTTGTAAAATTTTTTAGATTCAATCTCATTGTTCATGAGTTGAGTAAGTGGAATCGAGTCATTATCAATTGGACGAAAATGGTAAGAAATTGTAAGTATTTTAATTCCTATTTAAACTTTGTCATTGTTCGGCGAACCAAGCATATACCATATTCATTTAACATTACGTGGATCACTCATCAATCAATGTTCATAATTTTCAAAGCCTTGTTTTGTTTTATTTAAACCTAGATTTTTCCATTCCTTTTTTATACACAAATTCAATTTCAAAAGGAATTGCCTTAGTTTTTTAAAATACTCCACCATTATCAATAATTGATTTTTAATTTTAATGCAGTTTAGAAGCCTATTAAATATAAAATTTAAATATATATCTAATAAATTAATTAATTTTAAAATAACAGTTAAATATAGAAATTAAAACAAAATAAATTTAAAAATCTTATAATAAAATTATTTTGTATAATTTAACAAAATAAAAACACATATGTTTAATACAAATTCTATATATATAATTCATGTTGCTATCAAATTAAGTTAAAGAGTAGAATTTTGTTTAATCCTCTTCTCAGCCTTGATTTGCCTTTTGGATGATGTAAGTCAAACATGATGGGCTCTCTTAATTCTTATATAAACCCTAAACCCTAAACCCTCCATGCATTAAACTCATAACACACAAATTCCTCTCTAAATATGAAGTTCCTTTCAGCTGCAATTTGCTTGCTGCTCCTCATTTTTGGCACTGGTTTGTTTGTTTCCTTCAATTTTTTATGTTTTGTTTGTTCATGGACTGTTTACCAGGGGTTTTTGGTGCATGATGTGTGGGACAGGTATGGCGCCAATGGTTGCAGAGGCCAGGCTTTGCGAAACTCCAAGCCACAATTTCAAGGGGCTATGCTTTAGTAGCAACAACTGTGGCCATGTGTGCAAGGGAGAGGGGTTTAACGATGGCGCTTGCAAGGGCTTCCGCCTTCGGTGCATATGCTCAAAGCACTGTGTTTGATATTGCTTCATCAACTATTTGCCTATTTCTAAAAGTAGACACTTTATTAAAAACTTGTATGAATAAAGTGGGCATCCTCTTTGGCCCCTCCTTCCTTCCTTTCATGTATTTTTGGTTTGATGTTGTGTAAGCCCTTTAATTACATTGTGTTTTGGAATTTTGGTTTATGCAATAATAGGCCTATACCTGGTGTCCTTTGAACGTAAACACGTCTCACTTCTATCATAAGAAACAAGATACACAAGAATTTACGTTTAAAACTCTAAAACTAGAAAAAAAAAACCATGACTTATTAGAAAAAATTCAACATACGAAAAATTATAACAGTCAAATATAATCTCTACGATCTCACTTATAAGGAAACTCTCTAAACTTTTGTACTACTCACTCCTTTTTACAAACGTTTAAGTCTATTACAATGGTTTAGTAAACGTGTATGTGATGGCAACTTTGTTTTAAAAGAAAAAAAAAATAGGGTCATTATAGTTGGTGTAAGAGCTATATGCTTTTATATGTTTCCACCGAGGTGTAAGAGCTATATGCTTTTATATGTTTCCACCGACTTGTCATAAGGTTTTAAGAAATTTGGGCCTAGTTCAAGTATCTTCTGAATGTTACATCATTCCACTGTGGTGTCATAATGAGCTAATCTATTTTGTAGGACCTCGTTTCATCTTAGAGTGGGTTTCTTCCCAACACAATAATAGCTTCTCTATATACTACTTGTTGTCCACTCTCGAGCGGGATTGTTCTACACACAATAATATATCCTCAATTAACTACCTGTATATCCCTTTGTACACTTCTTAAGCACACAATAGTGATTCCTCATGCTATCTACTTATGTAGTCCCTTGTACACCTCTTAAGGCGGGTTATCGTACATACGGTAGCAATTTCCCATGTCACCCACTTATATAGTCTCTCGTCATTTCTTAAGGCAAGTTATCATAGATACAGTGGTAGTTCCTTATATTGTCTACTCGTATAATCTCTCGTCCTTTTAAGGCTGGTTATACTCTACACGCAGTAATGGGTCTTCGAGTCGCTATTTATGTAGTCCATCGGCCCCTATTAGGACAAGTTATATCTTACACACATAGTGACTCCCCAAATAGTTTTGTTCATGTTACCATCATTCTTATGTGTTCTCGTAGTTCACCCTAGGTGCCATAGAGATATATCAGGTTCTAGGGCGTCTAGATGAATTAGGTCATAACAAGCATTTCTAGGTCGCTCGGGACTAGCTCCTCATGGCTAAAGCCAAATCTTGAGTTGCACTTAGGTCTTTGATCGCCACTTACGATCCCAGGGTGCTTAGTGTACTAAAAACGTATTGACCTAAGATGTTGCATAACTACTCTAGTTCTACCGCCCTACTCACTCTAATATATGTATGCTTTACTAGGGAGATATTCTATCAATTACCTAGTACACAGAAATCATGATCTAAACGGTTGTGCAGGTTTAATAAAGGAATATTCCTATCCATTGATAACTCTCTAGAAGTAGAGTCATATCAAGTCTTTTTGTAGGTAATATTACACTCTTATTCACAATTTTCTCATTTATTACCCCATTTATTCTAGTTAGTAAGCATGAAATCGTTTATTGCGGGCCAACATGAAAAAAATATGATTTGACATAAATTAATCTTAATTGTACATTTAATTGAGTTATGTGTTAAAATTTCAAACATTTATGCTGAACCATAAGGGAGTAGCAAATTTGGAAACAAACGGGGA